CTCTCTCTCTCTCTCTCTCTCTCTCTCTCTCTCTCTCTCTCTCTCTCTTTTGCGCGTGCGCGGTTGCCCTCAGCTCCGTCCGCTCCCTCTCTGAAGCTTCTCTACTCTCCTGCGGGTTGGCGGCGACATGACCGCTCCAGTGTCCAGCTCAGAGCCGCTGCTCCTGGGGAATTTCATGATTCCTGTTTTTTCTGACTCTCCCAGAGGCCTTGGCATGTCATAATCCTCTCTCCTGCTTTAGAGCCATCCCCCGAATAAAGGAGCACAAGGAACGAGAAGTGGGGAAATTAAAACGGCCTCATAGACATCGTTCCGGGCCGGTTTTAGTTGGGCCAAGACCTCATGGATTCGCTTTAGTTTAGAGGTAGGCCAGGCCCTCTGGGAGAGGGGTGAGGACCGGTGCTTGTACTTTCATTTCAAGGGTCCTGATAGCACGTAAATCTCCAGAGGGATGACTTTACAGGACATCAGCTTACCCCAAACCGCAGCAAATCTGCAAGAGATCCAGACGGGGACACGCAAATTAGGATGATTGCGGAATGGCTGTGAAAAAATAAGGACAAATGACAAGTTTACAGCAAAGAAAATGTACGTTTTAGTGCACTTTTACCCAAAGAGAAAGAAACGAGACGAACCTGAACGCGTCACGGTGCTGATTAAGCTCTTTGAAAAATGCCTCTGGCCTTCCCCCATGATATTATTTATCACAAGTCTCCAGAGACTGTCAGACAAGTTTCCCTATTTGCTTTAATTAGCTTTTTTATTTGGCCTGAGTCCAGTCTGCAGCTTTCAGCCAGTCGTGTTGTTTAAAAACTGAAAGGCTCAGGTTAAAAAAACCCCTCTGAGAGCTCATGGTGGGATTGGTGACATAGACGGTGAGAAGTAGAAGCTTTTTTTTGTCACAACACGGTTTGATAGGTGAGAGGACTAAAGCATGAAGGATGGACCGATATAGAAAAGAGGGACTGGAAGCTTCTATTCTGAGAGAAACACAACATCTGACTGGGTGACAGAGATCAGACACAGAGGGAACCTGCGAACACGATGATGATGTGCTAATTAGTGCTATAAAAACTCAAATTAAAAGGTGAGGGGGAAAGAAAAGGCTCAGAAACAACAGAGGACTGAAGATAAGAACCAAAACTGCTGAGCGGGGTGAGTGATGGAAGCTGAGGGGTTGCAGGCATGGAAACGGGGGAAGGAAGCAGACTTAACGAGCGGGCTGGGGTCAGAAAGCCCAGGGTGACAATACAAAACAAACCTGAGCAAGAAAAAACTATTTGATCCAAATCCAAAAGACCCCGAAAAAAAAGACTGAACCCACAACAGTTTTTTTCTCTTTTAAAAACTCAGCAGAGGCCGTTTATCCATTCAAATGTTTAATGAGAAGACATTAAAAGTGCAAAATAAGCTCAGTTGGTGTTCAGTGAAAGTTAACCTTGGGTTGCTGGTTCAACTCTGGCTTGAGGGACATTTTAAGCTCTCCTTTTAGGACAATGAAAATGATTGAACTGCTCTTTATGATTTGTTTCAAACCTAATTTGTTGTCTATTTTTTACTCTGGATTTTCTATATTGCTATATTATTTTTACATATATGTCTAAATATACATGAATAATATAGAGATATTCTTTCTAGGGAATTCTAATTCTACGATTTCCATCAGGTGGGAGGCTTTTTTCTGCAGAATCTCTCCTGAACAGAAGCCCAGAGTGTGTCAGCCGACTGGTGAATGACCCCTTTGGTCTCCATCCCTCTTTGAAGCCTTTTCAGGAGGGCAGTTTAATGTCTTCTCGCTGTTTGTTTGTAGCTGTGAAACTCGGTTAAAGCTCCTCGGCTTAACCTGGACGCCTCTGTGGGCATCACCTGGCCTTATCCTTCCGCTTTTTCCCAGAGATAAGCCGCTCCTTTTCTCTCTCTGGAGACGGATGAGAAGAGGCCATCTAGCCACTTCGGCCGGGGCGTCGCCATGACGACGACAACCACAGAACAATGGAAAAAATGGAGTCCTTGGGATGTGTGGGTCCAAGACAAATATAACCCAGAGCCAGTTTTAGGAAATGCTCAATCGGGAGCTGACATGATACTCCGATTATTGCTTATCCATCACTGCCAGGTAGAGGCCGTGTCCCCGGAGTGACTGTAATGGGGAAGAAATTCCCCACCCCAGAGGTTATAGTCCACTCAAACAATAAGCAGCAGTGAAATGAAACACTCCAGAATCCGATTTTGCAGAAGCTCTAATGGACGAAAGAATAAAACCGACGATATAGGAATCATACGCAATCCAAAGAAATGCAATATGTGGATAAAAGATTGGAGGAGAGAAGAAAAAACGCTGGAAGTTCAAATTTTTTTACTAAGAAAGTCGAACTAAGTCCCAAAGAGGAGAGAAATGGTGGTGGGAAGCTGCCTGGAAACACATCTGCTTCTCCTCTGACAGAAAAAGAGCTGCGATCCCATCTGTTGCCGTGGACAACGCCGCTTCTCGCCCCCCCCCCGAGAGAAACCAGCAGAGCAGCACGTGTGAGATAAAGCCGAATTCGGCCCGCCGAGGCCCTTATCGCATCAAACTACTCGCTAATTAGGTGGAAAAACAAGTTACTGTGAGATAAAAATGAAATCAGACCCGAGTTTGACCACAGTAGGACTGACTGGTCAAACTTGGGGCTGATTTCACACCCCCACCGTGCTCAACAACTTCTCACAAATGCCCTAAATTGCTTATTTTTTATGGATAACTGTCTTAATTTGGACTCTGTAAATAAACAGAGTATCACAGTTTTGAATTTAATGGAATTTTTAAACCTTCTAAGGACTAAAAGGAGTTCATGTGGCTCAAAAAAATGGAGAGATAACACGCCCGAAGCCTCGCTTTTCATCTTTTTCCTTCTGTCTCGTGTCTCTCGTATGTCTCGCTGCGGTTTTTGAGGAGATAAAGTGTGTGTGTGTGTGTGTGTTCTTTAAGCAAGCGTCTGTCTCCGGCTGGAGGTTGGAAAACGAGCTTCCTGGCTGGAAGGAGGTCCACGAGGTTTATCGAGGAGGAAAAGGCTGTGTGGGAGCACAATGACGGCCTCTGTCAGCCGGTTCTGAGTGGACGGGTCCAATCTGTTTGATCTGGGGGGGTCAAGCCAGCCAGGCACACACACAGCAACACACACAGCAACCTACACACACACACACACACACACACAGCTCGCCTCCAGTAAGCTGTTAGCAAACACTTAAGAGTACACATGCCCATAAGAAAAAGAAGTCAAAGCTGAGCCCAAAGAGCTGATATATTTGAATTTTCCCCTAACAATAACGAATATTTTTGTCCACATGACCTCAGATTCTGAATTATTCTTAAAAAATGAACGCAAAGCTTGAGAACTTGTCCTTGCTAAAGTCTTGAATCCATAGAAACCCGTTCAGAAACATATGATTTTATAGATGGACAAACATATATAATCGATTCAAAATGTTAAATGAGACTTTTCTTTGGAGCCATTCAGAATTAAAAATGCAGAAGGATTTTTTACCCAAACCGCTTGTTAATTGTCAGCTTTGAAAAAAAGACGAAGAGTCAGACCTCAACAATCATACACAACAGCCAGCAAAGTAGAAAGAATACTTGTTTAAATAACTAAGAGTCATCCTTCAGTCGGCTTTAAAGTAGAATTGAGGATCCTGATCACCTGTAATATGATTTAGAAAGAGGATTTGCATCATTTGACTTCATGTGAACCTGCTTTTACAGATCTATAATCTATGTTTTGGCCCTTAAACGGTATTTAAGCCCACTTCTAATCAGAGGGAAGCTCTGGTTTGTTATGTAGGCCACTTATTGTTGTGGCCATTTAAGTTAACTTTTTGTCATTCACATGTTCTGTTTAATTTGAAATAGTTAAAATATGTTTTAGTTTGTACAGAACCATTTTGAATTTAATTGTTAGGAATTATTAGGCTTTATTTGGTAATTTTCCAAGCTCCTCTCATTAATTTGGGAGAGTAAGAACAGCCGTCAGGTGTGATGACGGGAGGTTTGGGAGACAAAGATTTTTTTGACCACTCTACACTTTTTTATTACCTTTTGGATCACCTTTTTTACTTTTCATTTGCAATTAAGTTAGAATGGAAGTTTGGTAATTATTTCCCTATATTTTTACAAAGAAATAAAAGGAAAGTGCGTCAAAACCACAACCACAAACCACCTGTTGCCACTGACGGCTTTTTTTGTTGTTGTAAGAATTTAGTTTGGAAAAATTAAAAGGCTGTGACACTTATATTCAATTGGATTATCCCTTTTTCCTCTTCCAGACGCTCCAAATGCCACAAACTCAGAACTACTTTGCCCTACAGTCACACCCCCACGAGGCCATCGGGGGGAAAAGGGAAGTCTTTCCAGGACACTTCAACACGTGGAGGAACGAGGACTGACCCACTGACCCTCCAGCTGAGCAAAAGGCTGCGATTTCTGTGGCCGGCCGGTCACTCTGCCACTAAATCTGGCCGAACATGTGCTCAGAATTAACAATAAGAACTGTCAACAAACATGTTTATGTCTTTTGGCATGCCGGCGCTTCAAGCTGCGGAGCCAGGAAGGAAGACGACACAAACAAGAGGCCGCATCGGTGAAG